ACTTTGGGTTCGGAAGGCGGTTTTGTGTCGATCCTGTGGTGCCATGGGCACTTGCCAGAATCCTTTAGTCAGATCTATACTACTAATAAAGTTGGCCTTCCCCATCCTTTCTAGCAGATCGTCTAAACGTGGCATAGGGTAAGTATCTGTCTGGGTTACTTTATTTAACCGCCTATAATCCACGCAAAATCTAATTGTCTTGTCTGGCTTCTGTACCAACACTATGGGTGAAGCCCAAGAGCTAACTGATGGAACAATAATACCTAGGTCCAACATTTCTTTAATCTCCTTTTCAATACACTCATTAATTCTCCCCGTGACCCTGTAGGGTGGAGATACTATGGGAGTTGCATCACCGGTGTTTATTTGATGCTGGACTCCCTGGACCTTTCCTGGCAAATCTGAAAATATGTCTTTATATTTACTCAAAACTTTCACAACCTCTCTTCTCTGTGGTTGGGACAATTCTATGTTCATTTCTACCCGATCCAAATTTTTGTACTGTTCACGATCACCCTCCCAAAAAGAAAAGGGACCGGATTCTTCCTCCGAAACAACAAAACATACATTAGCAGACCTTTCAACATAAGGCTTTAACATGTTTATATGGACTCTTCTTTCTACATTGGAATGTTCATCATAAATATCATAGTTTATTTGGTTGTGTTTTCTGATGATCTTCCAGGGTCCCGACCAATCCAATTGAAGTTTGTTGGTTTTGTTGGGAGATAAAAATAAAACTTCATCTCCGATGTTGAAGATCTTTGGTTTAGCAGTAGAATCATAATAGTCTTTTTGTCTCTGCTGAGCCGCAAGCAAATGTTCTTGTGCAATGTCCCTAGCCAGTTGCATTGTTGATTGAAGATCCTTTAAATACTCCGACACTGGAACTGGATCTGTTGCCGGACTTTCCTCCCAATATTCCTTTATCAGGTCTAATGGACCATGAGCTTTCCTTCCATATAGCAATTCAAATGGACTGTAGCCAGTACTGTCATGAGGGACGGTCCTGTAGGCGAATAACAGTTGTTGCAATTTGACGTCCCAGTCGTATGGCTTCTCTTGACTGTAAGACTTTATCATTTTGACTAAAGTCTTGTTCATATTTTCAACTAGTCCATTTGTCTGTGGATGATAAGCTGTTGAAGTCAGGTGTCTGATACCACATAACTCAAGCAATTTCGACATAAGTCTGGAAGTGAATTGGGTTCCCAAATCTGAAACCAATTCTCTAGGATAACCAGTTCTTCCCCAAATGGATAACAGTGCATTTGCAATCGTTGTTGTCTCGATGTTAGTTAGAGCTACAGCCTCTGGATATCTTGTGGCGTAGTCAATCATGGTTAAAATGTATCGGTAACCACGTCTGCTTGGTTTACAAAGAGGACCCACTATGTCAATGCCCACTCTGTAAAATGGTTCTCCAATTATTGGCATAGGGATCATAGGAGCTTTAATTTTATCCCTTCCAGTACTCAATCTTTGGCAGATGTCACAAGACTGGCAAAACTCTTTGATCTTCTGGAACACGCCAGGCCAATAAAAGTTCTTAGTGATTCTCTTTGTGGTTTTCCTCACACCCAAATGTCCACCTTGAGGGTTTTCGTGTGCCACCCTCATCAGCTGTTCTCTAAAACTTTGAGGCACTACAATTTGACTACTTGTCACTGATTCTTCTGTTGACTCCACATTCCTGGTTTTTCTATATAAAACACCATTCTTTAACACAAACTCGGAGGGCTGTTCTTTTGCCAATATTGTGGGGTTTTGAGCCAAAGCGAATAGAGGTTTAAGAGATTCATCGGCTCCTTGTTCCTGCCGAATTTCTTCAATTCCTCCCGTCTTCTTAACAAGCTCAGCAACCGTAGCGCTGGATTCCGGACTCTCCTCCCCATCCTGTTGTATGGCAAAACACATGGCTTTTTGATCATGGCTTTCGTTGTTATATTCTTCCTCTTCACACGTCATCCTCCAGCTTTCAATCTTCTTAGCCAAATCATTTCCAATTAAACATCTGTATGGTATGTCAGGACTGACTGCAAAATCCCACATACCCTTCCATCCTCCATATTCTATTGGCAAAGTCACTACTGCTGTTGGTATCGCAGGTCCTAAACCTTTTAATCTTATTTCAGAGGTAGGCCGCTGAAATTCCTGAGGTATTATTTCTGGATGCACTATACATACTTCAGAGCCTGTATCTCGAAGTCCTTTCATGTCTTTGTTGTTAATAGAAATGGTTTCTAAGTAATCTTTAGATGGGCTGCCTGACAAGATGAACAAACATTGTTTCTCTTGAGGCTCTGAATCTGAACTCTTCTTTGACACAGTATCTGGTTCTAGCCAGAGTGAACCAGAGGATTCTGGGATCGTTGGTTCCCAAGGCAAAGATGCTTCGATGCTAACAGAAAAAGGGGCCGAGGAAAAGGTTGAACGGCCAAGGCCAGATAGTGATAGTGAAAGGAATGTACTAATTGGCAAGCTGAGGGACGACCAGACACTCTTAATAATAATAACAACAACAACAACAACACTTTATTAGTACCCTGATACCATCTCCCCAAGGGACTCGGTGCGGCTTACATGAGGCCAAGCCCAAACACAACAATGCAGGCAATAATACAACAATACAAGCAATTAAAATAAAACATAAACGATAAACATATAACATTATCAATAAGACAACATACAATTAAAAATTGTGGGAAGGCCAAATGTAAAAATTAAAATTGGAAAAGTGCTGAGGCATGGACGAAAAGGCGATAGTGGCGTTTGTGGAAGACATACGAGCAGACCTAAAAGTATAAAGTGCTTTGGAGGGACAAAGTGCTATGGGATCATTATTCCGGGAAGGCACACTCGCACAACCACATCTTCAAGCTCCTCCTGAAGACCCCAGGGTTGAGGCCTGCCTGATGTCCTTAGGGAGTGAGTTCCAGAGTTGAGGGGCCACTACCGAAAAGGCCCTCTCTCTCATCCCCACCAATCGTGCCTGCGATGCTGGTGGGATCGAGAGCAGGGCCTCTCCAGATGAACGAAGAGATCGTGTGGGTTCGTATACAGAGATGCGGTCACACAGGTAGGCGGGTCCCAAACCGTTCAGGGCTTTGTAGGTAAGAACCTGCACCTTGAATTGGGTCTGGTAGATGAATGGCAGTCAGTGGAGCTCCTTGAACAGGAGGGATGACCTCTCCCTGTAAGGAGCACAAGTTAACAACCTGGCTGCCGCTCATCTAAAATTTCTGGGCCGTTTTCAAGGGCAGCCCCACGTAGAGTGCATTGCAGTAGTCCAGTCTTTGATAGGAGAAGTCAAATCAATCATCATCATACCTGGAAGGGGGCAGAAGACGGTCTGAAAGATTAAGAGAATCAGGGGGTCAGGGAGAGGTTTCCCAAGGGAAAGGGAATGCTTTTGCCATGGCTTTCTGAATAAATATAGGGCCTGTGAGTCTATACTCTTCAGTAAGTCCAACATTTGGTTTTCATGCCTGCTTCATGCTTGCTTGTTCATGCGGGGAATCATGTATAATCTTGCTTTGTATTCATGCACATGCTGAGATTTTTGTAAGCTGGTGTTTGTGATTTCAAGCTACTGCATTTAGATTATTTGATTCAAGTTGGCTCCTGTTTCTTCAAGGGACTTTTGCATTTGCCACCTTTGGAAAAGAAAGACTTTCTTCCTATGGATTTGCTTCTTGGATTTTGGGACTGATTTGTCTCCTAACTTGGATTTGGGTTATTTGCTGATTTTGTGGACATCACCTTTTCTCTATTTGAATGCTTTTTACCTTTTTGACTATTGCTATAT